TAAAAAAAAAAAAAAAAAAAAAAAAAGAAGAAAGGAGACAATAAAAAAAGGAGACAGTAAGCAATAGGAGACAATAAGGAAAAGGAGACAAAAAAGGAGAAAAAAAAAAGGAGACAAAAAAAGGAGACAATAAATAATATATATATAATATATATTAAGGATAAAAAGGAGACAAAAAAAAAAAAATAAATAAAAGAAAAGAGACAATAAATAGGAGAAAAGGAGACAATAAAAAGGAGACAAAAAAGGAGACAAATAAATAAATAAATTAAATAAATATATAAAGGGTATTTGCTGCTAAGAAGAGACAGCAGCTATAGCAGCAACAGCAGCAGCAATAGCAGCAGCAACAGTAACAGCAGCAGCAGAGAAGCAACGCTGCGGTGTATCTGCAGCTACTTACTACTTATATTTATATTAAATAAATAAATAAATTAATTAATTAATTAATTAATTAATTAATTAATATAATTAATTTTATTTAATTAATAATGAATAATAAACAAGCAACAGGGGGGGCCCCCCGTACCCTGTGACTGACACTATACAGCAACAGCAGCAGCAGCAGCAGCAGCTGCAGCTGCTGCTGCTATTGGTACTGCAGCGCAGCGGCAGCAACAGGAGCAGCAGGAGTATATTTAAATAAAAATATATATTATATGCTGCCTATACACCTCAATCTAATTACGTTAGTTTGCTGCTGCTCCTGCGGTGTATCCTGAGGGGGGCCCCACGCGCTGCTAGGGGCTGTGCAGCAGCAGCTGCTGCTGCTGCCTGCTCTTCCTGTTGCTGCTGCTGCTGCTGCTGCTGCACATCGATGAGGGCAACGACCTGAAGATACACCCGAGATGTGGCGGCACCTGCAGCCGTCAACTTTGCCCCTTCCTTGTTGGGGGCCCCCCTTAGGGGGCCCCCTGCGATGTAGGGGTACGCCAGCAGCAGCAGCAGCCGCTGCTGCTGCTGCTGCTGCTAAAGTCAGAACGATAAGACGAACACAGCGAGCAGCAGCTACAGTAGGAAGAAACGCAGCAGCAGCAGTAGCAGCAGCAGCGGCAAAGCCGGCAGCCCCTGCTGCTGCTGCTGCTGCTGCTGCTGCTGCTGCTGCTGCTTGGGCTCGCCTTCATAGCAGCCGCTTCTTGCTGCCTTGCGGCGAAGCAGCAGCACTTCAGCCGTTGCAGCAGCAGCAGCAGCAGCAACTGCAGCAGCAGCAACAGCCGCAGCAACTGCAGCAGCAACGATTGCTGTATCATAGCAGCTGTTCCCCAGCATGTTCCCCTATGTTGCGAAGAAGCAGCAGCAGCAGCAGCAACTGCAGCAACAGCAGCAGCTGCAGCAGCAGCAGCAGCAGCAAGACAGCTTCCTCTTATGGTTTCTTTGGTTATAGGGCTGCTGTCTCTCGCTGCAGCAGAGTTTGCTGCTGCTGCTGCAGCAGCAGTCTGCTGCAGCAGCCCCACAGGCAATCTCTGCTGCTGCCCTTGGGGGCATCGGGGCCCCTAGGGGGGCCCCAGAGGGGTCTCCGTCAATGGCTTGTGGGTAATGGACCCTCACCTGCAGCAGCAGCAGCAGCTGCTGCTGCTGCTGCAGCAGCAGCAGCAGCAGCAGCAGGCAGAAGCCGCAGATACTTCTCCGTTTCTTGCCATTGGCATGATTCTCTAAGACCGCGCTTCCCTTCTTCGTGGCAGCAGCGGCATCGCCGCATGCAGCAGCAGCAGCAGCAGCAACGGCAGCAGCAACGGCAGCATCAACGGCAGCATCAGCAGCAGCAGCAGCAGGGTATAGGCAGCAGCAACGAGGGAGGAGACGGGGGCTATGTGCTGCCTTTATTTGCTGCTACTGGTCTAACTGCTGCACTCATGTGGCTGCTGGAGAGACACAGGAGGGCAGAAGCAGCAGCAGCAGCAGAAGCAGCAGCAGCAGCTGCAGCTGCTGCTGCTGCTGCTCAACGAACTGGCTTCGGGTGGTTCTGGCCTGACTGGGCCTTCTCCAACAACAGCAGCAGCAACAGCAGCAGCAGCAGCAGCAAGAACAGCAACAGCAGCAGCAGCAGCAGATTGTGGGGCCCCCTAGAGGACCCTTTTGCCAATTGGTTCTTTGGGGGCCCCCAAGAGCAGCAAACATGGGGGGCCCCCTTCTCCCCCTTCCGTCTGCAGCAGCAGCAGCAGCAGCAGCTGCAGCAGCAGCAGCAGCACCGGAGTATATGGAATGATTCTGCTGCTGCTTCTTCTTTGCTGCTGTATACAATAGGTGGTGTCTTCCTCCTATGGAGGTTTGCTGCAGCAGCAGCAGCAACAGCAGCAAGCAGCAGCAGCAGCTGGAGCAGCAAATTGCTGCCGCTGCTGCTGCAGCACTTCACAACATCTCGTGAGGCCCTAAGGGCAGGAAGACTTCATACTATTTTTACGGCCAGTAAGTGCAGCAGCAGCAGCAGCAGCAAGCAGCAGCAGCAGCAAGCAGCAGCAGCAGCAACAGCAGCAGCAGCAACAGCAGCAGCAGCAACAGC